CCCCCCTGCATCCAATAAAGGATGGCTCTCTTTCTGTTACTAATGTATTTGTAAAAACATTTTCTGTTATCTCCTACGATAGTGGCCAGATTGAGTTCTAGCTGGGCTTTTGCCTTTCTAATTTTCTCTCTGCATAACCTAACGCGATCCCTGTACTCTTCTTGAGTTCCCTGCCCCTTCTTCCAAAAGTGGTAAAACTCTCCTCTTTTTCCTGAGTTTCAGCAAAAGCTCTCTGTTCAGCCAGGCCAGTCATCTTTCCCTCTGGTTTATCTTACAGCACACAGGGACAGGCTGCTCTTGTGCCTTTAAGATTTCCTTCTTGAAGAATGTCCAGCCTTCCTGGACCCCTTTGCCCTTCACGACTGTCTCTCAAGGGACTCTCTTGACCAATGTCTTGAATAGCCCAAAGTTTGCTCTCTTGAAGTCCACGGTAGTGGTTTTGCTGACTCCTGTCCTTACTTCACCAAAAATCACGAACTCTATCATTTCATGGTCGCTAACCCCAAGTTGGCCTGCAACCACCACATCACCCACCAGTCCTTCTCTGTTTGTAAACAGTAGGTCAAGCAAGGCACCTCCCCTAGTAGGCTCCCTTACCAGCTGTGTCAGGAAGTTATCTTCCACTCACTCCAGGAACCTTCTAGTTTTAGTTATAAAACTAAATAGCTGCTTGACAACTAAATAGCTGGTTGGATTTCCAAAAGTTCTGCATGCTCAATCTCTCCTCAGAAGTACAGGAAACTGATGGATGTAAATGTCCAGATTTCAGACTCAGTTTTGGGCTCATACCAGTGTTTTCAGAAGATGCAGGCAAGCATAGAGAAGCAGTAACGCACTATTTGGAATTCACTAAAGTACAAATCATGTTTCTGGGACAAAGAATAGAAAAAGAGAGTATGTTAGATAAATTATAGATGAAGATGCATAGTAACACATAACCTAAGCTGAAATTAAACGAAAACGTTTCAGCTCCAAGACGTCAAGCATGCCTACTAAAATTCTGTTATCTTAAATATTTATTGGAATAAGGATCTCTTCACCTGCAGTTTAAACCTGCAAATGTGTTTGATTTCTCAGACTATGATATTGTTTGCTAATTCATGAATGTAAATATAGCAACGCAGGTGAAAACAAGTATAACTGAAAACTCCTTATACGCAAGTCTCAATCATGGTACACACTTCACTGGGGAAGTGGAGAAAAGGCCAGAAGAGGAAGGAGGAATGGGGAGAAGGAAGTCCACCTCCTGCTAAAAGTGAAGAACATTTAACCCAGTAATAACTAAGTTTCCACAGGGCCCAAACGAGAAGACACAGTAAGTTTTTCCACTTTATTGTTTGTAAAGTTGAGGCCTGATTCACTAAAATATCAGTAAGTGCCCTAATCTATTTTTGATGGTTACATGAATTTCTGCTGAGTATTCTTGGGAAGTCCCTGTACAGTCTTGTCTAAACACAGTTTCCCCTACCAAACATTTTCAACCATATGACAATATTTCCTGTTTTTTTACTATATGCAGAGGAAATATTTCACAAAATTAGATTTAGTAAATGAGGCATTTTTCATTATTTTTGCTATATATTAACTGGTGGGTTTTTTTGTTTTGTTTTGTTTTTTTTAACTAAAGCATAGCAAATCAATTAAAAGAACCAGAAAACAGTCTCTTCTCTTAGTTTAGATACTTCCACTTCCTAAGAACAAATTTAACAGCAGCCAGTTTGGAATTTCAAACAAAGCAGACACAGAAAATATTATGTTCCATCCTGGCCTAACGTATTCCTTCAGATAGCCTTGATATCCAACAAATGAATTTATGTCTGAAGTTCTAAATATTTCTGGCCTGAACCGATGGGATTTTAACTCTGAATTTTCAGATGCACTTCAAAATACCTATTTCTACAGGATATGGACTTAGAGCTGCAGAAAACCTCAGTTTGCTTTCAGCCCTTCTGACTCACCTGCTTAAAAGATATATCCATTCTCAAAGACAGGTAAAGACAATCACCTGTCTTGGGAAGCACAATGGTCTAATAAAAACCTTCAGGAACAACATTAGAAGATGGCAGAATCCAAAACCTTTACAAAGGAGGTTTTCACCTTTTTTACTACTAAGTCAAGAACATAAATGTGTTACAGACCTCTGCAAAACAGGAAAATCTTCAATGTATTTTCTCCAAACACTAATTAGTCATAATCTTGGCTGGTGTCCTTTGGCTAAGTAATTCTCCTTCCCCTCACCTTTGACTTTTCTCTCCCTGTAGGGAGAGCCTGATTTCCTTCTCAGGAAGGTACTGCCCTTCAACCATTTTAACCTTGCCAGCTTAACTGTGGGAATCCTGGGCTCTAGCCTCCCTTCTCACTGCCCAGACATCTATGCACTTACCAATGAGGCTTGCAGGGAATGATTTAAATCCAATGGTGCTACCACCGTAAAGTCTTGCATTTCAGTAAACAAGGAATCTTTCAATGTTTATGTTTTCTCCAAGACAATCTATGCTTTAACATAACCAGGACAGGTCTAGAATTAACTGTCCTTGTCAAAACCCAGTTCATTTTACAATAAACATGCTTACTACAAAGTCAGCTTACAAACTGACATCTGCAAGAAAGCCCAAAGTTCACTACTGGACACAAGTATCTGCAATCCTGTCAGTTTCATACTACACAATGGCAAGAAGGGATTTAAAAAAAAAACCCCACCAACATGGAGTTCTGCTATGATATGCAACAGTTAAATACATACAACTGATCTGTACAGAATAGCTTAATTAACAGTTTCACACAAAAACCAAATTACTTCAGATCACAAGAGAAGCTGATTATCTGAAAGGCAGTAAAGGTATTTCCATTCACTATGCAACTCCCACCGATTTTACCTGACACAGAAGACAACAGGGAAAAATGGGATCCAAAATGTTAGAAACTGACAGTTGTTATCTTAATCAGGATAGAAGTGCTATTTTACTGTCTATTCTCATAAAAGAAAATTTCATATATTAGACAGAAGCCTTTATGTTATCCTAAACATACTAGCAAAATGCTTCACTACCACATATGTTTGTCTTTTTTTTTTTTTTATTAGTACTGCTACAAGTAGATTTTTAAGTGGAATTAAGCTCCTTTGCATGTCTTGATCAATTTCCTAGCTATAGCAAAGTTCTAAGAGCTCACATTCAACTGAACTGCCATGCTTATATATACAGTCTAGATTTTCTTCAGACATGAGCTAAAATTCAATAAAATCTCAAAAGAATTTTTGGCCAATATGTTTTACTTCAGATTTATAATTGTCTACTTACTGCCCATAACTTCCCCCACACTTTACCTATGTCAGTATTAGGAACAAATCAGATAAATTTTTTACTGGAATCTAATTCTTGTTACCGTAAATTCTGTGGGGCTTTTTTTCTATTAATTGCATTTTAACTCTGCTTTTTAGTCACACTGCTTTAAAGTGAAAGGATGTCACTTCACATATCTTAAGGAACATGCTAAAGCTAGAAGATATTACTCAGGGAGCCACCCTTCATCCTTTCACTAGACAGTTCACAGAGTGTTAGACTCAAGTCCTTCAAGTCCCCTTTCTGGACCCCCTGCTTCCGCATTTCCTATCAGGCACTCAAATAAATAGTAAACCTAACTTGTTCTCTCCCTCTTGAAATGTAACAGATGGTAAGGAGAGGAACTGTTTAGTACCTGAAGAGATAAGATTTTTTAGAACACCCCAACTGTAATACCACGCACAACTTCACCTGCCACAAACCGGCACTTTTCCTGTCAAAAGCAGTCCCACTTTCTTTTGTCCCCAGATGCTCATTCCTGTACTTACAATGACCCCTCAAACAGTGGCAGAACACAAGCACAAGGATTTGTGCAACTGCGTGATAAATTCCACTAGAAAACTGATCTGGGTTACAAACACCTCAGAAGCAGTAAAAAAGTAGTTAGGTTTACCACAGACTAACTCTCTCACCATGCAGCTGAAGAAAGAATTTTGCTGCTCTCTCTCATAGGGTGGCACAGGAAATATAAACTGCCAGAGACACAGAGTAGGAACTATTTATTTGGCAGCAGTTTTGGCTTGTGTCAGTTGAAAGCGTATGTGAAATTGCAGCCTTGCTTCAAAACTGTGGCTAGAGTTCAAGAGCGAAGCAGTCTGGGAACAGATAATACTGAGACTGAGTTGAACTTCTGTTTAAAATTAAAGAACTGAGGTCAAATTTCATTTTCCTCTCTAAACAGTTATGCCAAACTGGCACTAAGGCAAATTGCATAATTGTTACTACAAACTCATCAGTAATCAAACAAAAGTGCAAGACTTTTCAAATGGAAAAATATTACTCGTAGCTAATTCCAAAGACAATATAGGTGTACAAAAGACTACAGAACCAAAAAAAAGAGTAAAGAACCAAACTTTTTGAACCAATCAAGCACTGAAAATCCTTTCCAGCAGATTTATCATTTCATTGTTGTAGAGGAAACTGGTAATAATGCCTACACTTCAAATTACCCATGGCTTTCCATTACATTCCTGTTCTGATTTGCCTTTAACTTGCCAAACAAAGCTTGTTTGCACTAAAAATCTCTCGTGTCATTTGTTGGCTCAAGCTGACGTTCCGAAGTGTCAGAAACAACCAGTCCAACTACCTACAAAAAATGCAGGAAAACAGTAAGTTTACTTATGTTAAAGAAGTCTTACAGCTCAGCACTTTCATTACAGCCTCCAGTACTTCCAAGTTCTGGAGAAGGAATTCCTTTTACGTACTCTATTATGGTCTCCTAGGACACAAAGGGCAGTCAGGACCAAGAAAAAGGTTATACTTTAAAGACTTAACACAAATTAGACAAGCTGCATTTCTAATATGTGTTAGTATTTAACATAAGCTTTAAAGCTTCTCTTGAGGGTTTTTCTCAGTAGCATGTGCTAACAACTACTAAAACTGGAATTACCAAGCAGGTGAGTCACAAAGAAGAAAGATTCCTATGGCTTCACATAGGTCACTATCGCAAACAAAAATCAATAAAATTACCAGGAAGTAGTAAGAACATCACCATCAGGTAAAACCAAGAAAGAAGTCAATTAACAGTATCAAAATGACTACCATCATATTAAAATAAGTTTTCCCATGAGGTCAAATTTCCATCATCAAATTATAAAAATATTTTATTTAATAGACTAGGCACTTCAGAAAAGCTGAAACAAACTATTCCGGATGCTTCTGAAAATGCCACTGTCATTTCTGTCAGAGTTGAAGAATGAAAATCTGCATCTCCTCCAGTTTTTAAGATATCTAACCTAAATACACATGGTGTTAGACATCAAAAATGAAATTCTAATGATTTCGCTTGCAAAATCATTTTAGCAAGTCAAGTTTATTGACTATTCATCTAATTTAACATCTTTCTATTTGTATTTTTTAAAAGTGAGTATGACATTTGCCTGAAGTTATTTTTAAAAAACCAACACTTTACTGTTGCCTTATAATCACTTCTTCAGCAATTGATCCTGGCCTTTCTTGTCTACATAAAATTTCTACCAACACAAGTGTTTGGAGAACCAGAATCATGATCTGATAGATCCACACAAGCACACATAAAGATTGTCCTTACCTCACAACTTCTGAATGCTGAATGAGTTGTATCTTAACTCCCCTGTACTTAAGTGTTCGTTTTTTTTAAGACGGTGCAACTAGAACTAAACATAGTATT